CAAAGTCCATGGCCAATATTCTATGGAATACCACATCCATCTACTATTCTGGCTGTGTTGCCCAAGTCTTTTTCTTCCATGTTTTTGGTGCTGCTGAACTTGCTTTACTGACTGTCATGGCATATGATCATTATATTGCCATCTGCAGACCTCTTTACTACAAGACCATCATGAAGGGGGGCACTTGCAGCCTCATGGCAGCCAGTGCATGGCTCAGCTGTGTCCCTTACTCTGCTCTCCGCATTGGGAACATCTTTTCTTTAACCTTCTGCAAGTCCAACATCATTGAACAGTTCTTTTGTGAAGTTCCATAGCTTCTCAAGCTTTCCTGTTCTCATTCGTATTTTAGTGAAGTTGGGGTTCTTACATTTAGTTTTCTTTTAGTTGTCCTCTGTTTTGTTTTTATAAGTATGTCTTTGTAGTGGTTTGAGCCAGGTTTTCCCCCTGAAGCTGAAAGTGGTAACCCCCAGGGGGTGGTGACCCTTGGGGCTTAACCCAATCAATGCTCCTGCAAAATATAAACATATCTCTGGAGACCGGAAGAGAAGCAGTGGTACTTCTTGAGAAGAAGAGGTGGCCATGTTGTAGAGGCCACGAGGAGAAGGGGCTCCGGCCCCTTGGGGGCCTCTGCCCCCCCAGCCCCCAGTTGGGGGGCTGCAGGGACTTGGAACAGTGTTAGCTGGACTGAGTGCCTGTGGCTAGGAGCTGGGGGAGTTTTCTCCCCTGTAAGCAGAAGTGGGAGACGCTGAGAGCAGCGACGGAGCAGCAGCGGAGACAGCAACGTCCGAAGAGCAGTGGCAAAGAGCCAACTGATAAGGACCAAAAGGAGCAACACAAACCGGTATGCAGCTAAGGCAGACACAGAGGTGTCTGAGGAGAAGGAAAAGCAGCAACAGGACAAGAGAACCAAGCCAGCAGCAGGAACAGAGTTTCGCGGGGTAAGAACTGAATAAACCAAAAACCCCAAACTCGCTAGAAACTCCTCCGAGAAAGAGGAGGGGGTGGTGGACTGAGAGGAGTCCTAAAGTGCAGTATGCACTGCTGAGAGGAGCTAGGAAGCTCATGGCCTCCTGAGAGATAAGCCAGGACGGCCGAAGGAATGTGTGTGTGTGTGGGGTGACCTTGGCCCCCCTGCTCCAGCTTCAGAGAAGCTGGCAGCCATCTTTGAGGCAGAGCATGGGAGCTCTGCACAGGGGCTTGATTTCCCCTGAAGATACCAGACCGTCACGGAGACCCCGGTGCTTCGTGATATGACCATGGTGTAGCGGCCGTGTCTGGGGTTACGCAGCCCATGGAAAGACCCCTTGTTTGGAGACAGGGGCCGAGAGAGACTTGGAAACCTCCCTCGTGTGTGCTGGCAGAGAGCCAGCAACTGTTTCTGGTGGAAGAGAAGAAGAGAGCCTGCTGCCTAGAGAGGAAGACCTGCTGCTCACAGACTGAAAAGGGTCTTTTCTTCTTCTTCTCTCCTAGACTTTTATTTAGAGGGAGAAGAGATTTGGCCCATTGTAAATATTATTGTCATGGTAGAGATAGATATAGAGTTAAGATTGTTTGTAATGTATTATAGTATTTATTCACGTGTATAGTCTTTGTAATATATTCCTTCCCCCCATATTGAGTCTTGTGTTTTTGTCTGGAAAACCCATCTCACATGGGGTTGAGATGTGGGTGGGGGGCTAGGAATCAGAATTGGATTTTGGGCCTGCTGAAACCATGACAGTCTTATATTCAGATTTTCACTGTGGTTTTGAGAATTCCTGTCAAGGAAAACCAACGTAAAGCATTTTCAACCTGCATCCCCCATCTCATTGTGGTCTCTGTGTTTGTTAGCACTGGTTCTTTTGCTTACCTTAAGCCTGTCTCTAACTCTCCATCAGCTCTGGATCTTACAGTTTCTCTTTTCTGTGTTGCCACCAGTGATAAATCCAGTCATTTACACCATGAGGAACAATGACATCAAAGCTACCATGCAAAAATTAACTGGCTGCAGATTATTATATAGAAATAAATAGGGTTTTTATCAGGCTTCCTCTATGTTCCAGGAAATGAGCACTTCATGAGCAAAGGTTCTAGGGTAAGTCCTATGAGGAGCACCTGAGAGAGCTGGAGTTTTCTAGCCTGGAGAAAAGTAGGCTCAAAGGAGACCTTATCCCTATATACAAATACATGAAAGGAGGTTGTAGCAAGGTGTCTATTCTCCCAGGCAACAAGTGATAAAATGTGAAGAAATAGCCTTAAGTTGCACCGGGGGAGGTTCAGGTAGGACATTAGGAGGAATTTCTTCATGGAAAGGGTGGTCAGGCATTGGAAGAGGCTTCCCAGGGAGGAGGTAGAGTCACCATCCCTAGAGGTGTTCAAGAAATGAATGGACGTGGCACTTAGTGCCATGGTCCAGTTGAGTGCCATGGTCTAGTTGACAAGGCAACTGGATTTCCAAACAAAATGATTCCATGATTCTCTGATTAATTTTTCAGTAGCAAACAGTTTATATCACTGGAATAAGAGGAAAATATTGACCTCTTCCTAATGCACCCAGCATCTCATTGGCCTTCTTGGCCCCCAGGGCACACGGCTGGTTCACAGGCAGCTTGTGAGAACCCCCAGGTCCTTCCCCAAAATGCTACTTTCCAACAGGTCACACCCAGCCTGCAGTGGTGCCTGGGATTGTTCCTTCTCAGATGCAGGACCCTGCATTTGCCCTTGATGAATCTCAGAAGGTTCCTCTCTGCCCATCTCTCCAACCTGTCAAGGTTCCTCTGAAGGGCTGTGCAGCCCTCTGGGGTAATGGCCACTCCCCCCAGTTTTGTATCATCAGTAAACTTGCTGAGGATGCATCTGCCCCTTCATCCAAACCAGTGATAAATAAATTAAACAATACAGGGCCCAGTATTGAACTTCCAGAAACTGCCCAATAGGTCATGATGTTTATTTGAAAACATGAGGAGAAACGCAGAGAGGGGTTTTGGTAGTGTCCATTTAGATATGTCTCCACTGGAGTTTTTGCTTTATTACATCAGGTCCATTACATACTATGGTGATTAAAGTGCAAGATGTGCATCTTTATTATCATCACTTTAAAGCTAAATAAATGTTTGTTCACATTATCTGCTTTGTACTCTAAATTACCCGTATAATTGCACATTGTTCTTTTCCAAAGTAAATTATCATTGCTTTCCATTTCCTCCCAGCCTCACCCCCAAACCTTTACAGAATGGAATCACTGTGTCCTGATTTTGAGCAGCTGAATTATTGTTGTTTGTTGGAAATCCCAAAAGTTTGGTGTGAGATTCTAAACACGGAATACTATTTTTGCTTTCAGATCCAATAACCCCATGAGAAGAAGTACCTATTTATCATCTTTGACTATGCATGGAGCGCAAAGGGAATCCTAAGTGTGAGATAGAACTACACAAAAAATCTCCATGAAAAGTGTAGATGTAAAAAAGTAACCATTGTTAAAATATGGTGAATTTTTTTAGGGTTTGACCTTGCCTAGCTGCCAGGCACCTACATAGCTGCTCCCTCACTCGTTTTCTTCAATAGGACATGAAGAAAAATAAATGAAAAAGGTTGTGAGGTAAGAAAAATATATGGTATTTACTTAGCAATTACTGTCACAGGCAAAACAAACTCAACTTGGGGAAGACTGGTATAATTTACTGGCAATTAAAAATAGAGTAGGAGAGTGAGAGATAAAAGCAAAAACTATAACACCTTTTCCTCATGTCCCCTTATTCCCAGGCACAGCTTCACTTCTCTACTGACTTCCTTTGCTCCCCACCCCTGCCATCTGTACAGGGAGGATGGCAGACTGGGGCCTCTGACCAATACACAGCAATTTCCTTCTGGACCTTTGTCATCCTCACACTTTTCTTCTGCTCCAGCACAGGTCCTCCCCATGGGTTGCAATTCCTTCAGCAAATTTCCATCTGGTCTAGCAGAGTGTCCTCCATGGGCTGCAGCATGAATCTCTGCTCCATCACGGGCTGTAGGGAAACACCTCCTCCTCCTCCTCCCTCTCTTACTGTGGTGTTTGCATTGCTGTTCTCACTCTTCTTTTCCCTCCTGTTCTGTCTGCATAGCATTATTTGCCTTTTCTTACATGTGATTTTACAGGGAGGCCGCCAGCTTTGCTGACTGCCTCTGTAAGTGGGTCTGGTTTGGAACCACCAGTGATTGGCATGGGAAAATCCCACATAGGGGATTCCCACAGAGGTCACTGCTGCAGCCTCCCCACTACCAAAACCTTGTCATGTAAACCTAATATGCTTTGATGCCAATTTTATGCCCCCAATACGGCACAGATGGAGTAACTGCTCAGAGACAAAGTTTGTAGCCTTTAAGCAGGAGGTGTGTTTATTCTCGGCGTCGGGAAGCGGCCAGGTCACCCTGGGAAAACCACTTCGCTCCAACAACTCACAGCTGGACTTTTTATACAATTTTTGGCAAGCAATTGCATCATACAATATGAATATTCATAATATTGCAACATGCATTTTTAATATTCATAACAGGTGGAGTTTAGGCAGAGTTAGAGGTGTGGTCTTCAATTTGGGGAGAATCTGGGAGGGTCATTCCGGTTCTTCAGCCTCATGAGCCCCCGGCCCCCCTCTCATACTCATCATGAACTTTGTGAACTTTCCTATTCTGGCTGATTTCCTGGTGCGTCTGGCAGAGATTTCTGATATTTTGGCAAGGATACCTAGATTTTGGCTCATCTTCCTTCCTTGTCAGCCTTTGTTTTCATTCTATATATCTATTTTAGCTTCTCAGTTCCTTCTGTTTTCCTGATTACATATGCTTCTGTTCTCCTGTGTCAATGTGTTCTGCATAACTTAGTAAATTATTGCCTCCACTATTTCTAAGACCAAATTCTTTGTGCTTTTGCTTACACCTATATTCTGAATTTAACTCTCTACTTTTCGTATTGCTTATTACATTTGCTTTCTAGGCCTTGCCTGGCTTCAGCTTGAAAATCCTAGAACATCATAAATGGCACTGGACTTCAATATATAGGCAGCCAAATGCCATTCCACAATGGTATTTCACTCACTCCCCAGCTGTCACCTCAGAAAACCAGTCCTTTCTATCCTGCCTCCTACCTGACAGGTGGTTCAGATATCTCAGGACAGCTGAAATGGCACTGGGCACCTATGGTAAACACTGCAGTGATCCAGTGAAATACACCCCTTTACTTGACAAACTGCTTTTTAGGAAAAAAAAAAGAAGAAAGAAAAAGAAAAAAAAGTTCCTCTAGCAAATAACATTATTCTTACATTTCTATAAAAAGCCAGAAAGGCACACAGGAAGGGAGGAGGGAAACAAACAGTCAGATACATGAAGGTGTTTTCCTGTATTATCTTAACAAATTTTCCTCCCTGCAGTCTGGTATTTTGAACTGATGACTGAGTAAATCTCAGAGAAAAGCAGAATATGGAAATGAAGCAAATTTTAGTATTTGTGATTAGCATTATTTTTCGGAACACAGTGATTATGGGAGAGAACAAATACGTGAACAAACCAGCTTTGGTGAGTTGGCCATGGACAGCAACTAAGCACCCACCCAGCAACTCACTCCCTCCATCCCACAAGGGTGTGATGTTAATGGTATGCGATACATCCCTTTCACTAGCTTGAGTCAGCTTTCCTGGCTGTGTTCCCACCCAGCTTCTTGTCCATCCCCAGCAGTGAGGTAAGTGCACATCCTGAAGACAGTGGGCTCCACAAAGCAGCCCAGCAGGGAATTTGCTGCATCCAGACATTCATCCAGTTGGACTTCTGCAAGAAGAGAGAAAATGCAGAGAGGGACAACAACTCAGTAAGGGAATACGTTGTGTATCAACAGTCTCACAGACTGCAGCACAGGAGCACTGGGAAAGAGGAATATGAATCAGTGGGTGTCAACTGTGCATTTAGTGGGAAAAGTCCAGAGTGTGACTCCTCACAGCAAAATCTTCTTACCAGCTTGGTCCAGCAGCCACCTGCATGCTTTGGCCACCAGAAGCTCTGACCAAGGTACCTTCCACTTATATTTGTGCAACCAGACCAAGGCCAAAACTGTGGCCCAGACAGCTGGCTCCACATCCTGTGAGGGAAAACAGAACAACCAAGGAGAAGAAGACTTCAATGCATACAAACAAACTCTTTAAGCTTCTGAAATCCTCTACATCAGAAAGTTCCCCAGTACCTCTGGATTTCACCCCACACCCTCCATGTCCTTCTTCCACAAGCGGAGAGGATAAACCCCACTGCCTTGATCTCTTCCTCTCAGTTCAGCTCAGACTAGAAATTTGGTTGGAACAGGAAAGTTCAGCTCATGAGAGTGTCCCCCTCCTGCCCCTGATCTCCTTACCTCACTGGGCCTCCGTCCCTCAATATCAGCTTTGCTGAGCCCCAAGGCAGAGGCCAGAGCTGTGGTGAGGGCCCAGGAGCCATTTGCTTTCTGGAGTGCCACCACTGCCCTGAGCCCAGAGAAGTCACACAGTCTTGTTGCCTGTGGTGAAATTGCCCAGTCCCAACTGATGTTAAGTGCTGGCAGTTCATCCATCATCTGTTCTTCAGGAGAAAGCTTCTGCTCTGGAAGACAGAAATGTTCACACAACTCACATGGAGATGGGCAATGACCACTAACCTTAAATTCTACCTTCTCCAAGTATGCTTAACTCTACTCCATCCTCTCCAGACTTTTTCAATTTTTCCAGTCATACACAAGCATCTGGAACTTTTTCCAGACCTCCCAGAGTATCGTCAGGTCTCTCAAATATGTCACAACTATGTTAAAATTTGTCCTATATGCTCTAGTTTACCCAGAGTAATTCTCTCCGAACATGCCTAATTCCACCCATGAGCATTGCTCATGTTATTCCTTCCTGTCACTTCCCCCATTATGGCTCACATTCACCCTTGAGGGTCCCTCACTGGTCCTTCTGCATCATCCACTCTTAAACCCACCAACATCACCATGAGTCCTTCCTTTCCTTGTTCTAAGATATAAAACTTCTTTGGAGCTACAGCACCATTACATCACAAGAGTGCAAAGATGAAGAGAGTCAAGCACAGCCCATGACTATTATGGTCCTAGGCTCAATTCTGGAGCAGACTGAAAAGTTATTATGGTCAGAAAATGAAGCAGTTGGGCACAGAGTAGTTAGGGCAAAACTAGGCATCATTTAAGACAGGCCTAAAGGTATACAGAGGTTGGAAGGGACTTCTGGAGGTCTTCTTGATCAAATTCCTACTCAAAGCAGGTCTCATTAGAACAGCTCACTCTGGTATCTGTGTAGTCAAGTCTTGAATATCTCTAAGGATGGAGATTCCACCAATTTTTATATTTTCCTTATGATTAAAAAAAAAATAAATAATTCCTCATACCCAGTCAGCATTTCCTGTGGTCCAACTTGTGTCTGTTGCCTCAAGTCCTAATATTGGGCACTTCAAAAAAGAGTTTCCTCTGGTTTTTTTCTTTTTTTCCTTCAGTCAGCCACTTGTAGACAACTAGACAAGTAGACAGGTACCTTCTTCTAAAAGATGAACAAACCCAGTTCTCTCAGCCTCTCCTCACACACCATGTGCTCAGCCATCTCAGTTCAGTGGCCCTTCCCTAGAGTCACTCCAGTGTGTCGATACCTCTCTGGTTAAGGAAGCAGAAGTTGGACACGATGCCCACAATCACCTTCCTGCACAGTGACTATACTCTTGCTTCTGCAGCCTGGGATGCTGTTGGCTTTCTTGGTTGCAGGGCACACTTCCTTTCGTTCAAGTAGTTGTCCTCTAGGACCCCAAGATCCTTTCCTGTAGAGCTGCTTCCTTGAACGTGCATGCCCTGAGCCTGTACTGTTCGTAGGGTTATCCAATTCCTGATTCATTCCCGATGCAAGACTTCGCATTTTTTTTATTGAATGTCACACAGTTCCTGTCAGGCCGTTTCTCCAGCCTTTATTGTACTGATCACACACCTACTGCTCCCAATTTGGTGTTGTTCATAAACTTGCTGGGAGTGCACTCTGTCCATTAATGTTCAGGTCATTAACAAAGATATTAAATGGTACTGCTACCATGAGAGATCCCTCTGGAATTGCACTGGGTTTTGGGCACCAGCTGGACTCTGAACTGCTGATCACTGTTCTTTGAGCTCAGCAGTCTAGCCAATTTTCCACCAACCTCATTGATCCCTTATCCCAGCCAGTATATCATTGATGCCTCAATTGAGAGACTGTCAAAGGTCGTGCTAAAGTCAAGGTATAGAGAATCCACTACCCTTCTCTTGCTCACAGTTCCAGCTACCTCATTCAAGAAAGCAGTGAGGTTGGTCAGGCATGATTTTCTTTTCAAAACCCATACAGGATGGCCCTTCTAAGAGGATTATTTGCTCCAGATCCTTCCTCAGATTAATGGGAGTCTGACCAGCTTGTATGTCTCTGAACTTTTCTTCTTCCTCTTCTTGAAGATGGGTGAGACATCTGACTACTTTCCAGCCATGGGAACCTCTCCCATTTGCCATGATCTTTTGAAGATGATAGAGTGGCAGTGGCATCAGCCCACTCCTTTGGCACTTTTGGATGAACCCAATCCCCTGGACTTTTGTAGGTCTGTCACTCCATCCATCCCCAGCATAGTGACAATCAGAAAGTCTAGTGATTCTGAAAGTTCAGCCCTAGTCCAACACATTTTGAGAATGCTGAGCTAAGAATTTCTCCTTACCTTTACTGTATGTCGAAAGCTGGGTGAGTATCCCAGTGTCAGGGGCTTTGTGACCGAGCATCTCAAGGCATAACTGGCATTTCTGAACCATCCAAAACTTGGTGGACTTGAACAACACAGGCCTGAATCCACGCAACCAGAGCAACTGGCAGGGAACCAGGTTTAAAGAGGGAGAGAGCATCATGGAAGAGTCTGGAGGCAAAGAATCTAGGAAGAAAGGCAGGGAGGTAGGGGTAGAATCGTGGGTATTAGAGGCAGGCCAAAGGGTGGTCAGGCCCATAGGACCAGGGGCTGCGATGGTGAGAAGGCATCAGACCACCAGGTGTTCCAGTGTCCCCACTGTTTCCAGCCTTACCATGGTGCCAGGCGTCCCTGTGTTTCATCCGTACAGCCACAATGGATGTGAAGGGAGATGGAACACCCAGGGTGAGGCTGGACTTCACTGTGCTCTGCCAGGAGTCCTTCTCTGTCCTGCTTGTCCCCTCCCAGGCTCGTTCCCACAGCAGGTGCATCAGGGCCATGCGATGCACTGGCAGCCTGCAGGGGCAGGGAGTTAGACCTTGGTTCCCCTTCGGGGAGGGGCAAGGGACACATGGACTAAAGAGGAGGGGGCAGTGGATTAATGGTCACCGAGCTCCTCTCCCAAGGTCAGCACAGAAGGGACAAGCCAGGAGCACCAGATACCCAGATTCTCTTCCCACCTCAGGGTGCAAGTGAAGAACTTCTGCTGTTCCTCCTGCAGACCCTGCCAATGTCACTCTGCCTCATGTGCAGGTGTGTTACCCTCTCACCTGTCATCTGATGACGGGGACAGTGAGAACCTGAGTGTGTAATCGAAGAACTGATTGCCCACATGGTACCGAAGAGTCACAGCTCCCTCATCCACCTTTGCATCCTGGTAACGCAAGGGAAGAGTCAGACAGAAAAGTTCATATTCTGGGCCCAGGCAGCCTGGCTACCTAGATTCCCTTCCTGCTCTACTAAGGAAGTAGATACCCATGCTTGGAGCAGAGGCAATGAAGGTTTACAGAGCCCTGATAATGGTCTCTCCCAGGTCTAAAGCAGGTGAAAGACACTCAATACTGGGAAGGTGGAATAGGACGTGGGTCCTTTACCTTCCAGAAAGCCATGCCCTGGTGCATATGGTTCCTGGATCCCTCTCACCTGTACTTGCCCACGGATCTGGGCATAGATGGAGCTCTGATGTCCCTGGAAGATCGTCTCAGGAGCTTTTCTGATCAGTGACACCTCCAGGCCAGGTGGAAGGTCCCAGTGTAGTGAGATCCCACTGGCCATAGGCTGCAGAGCCCGCTGCAGACATTTCACTGCCTGGTGACACAGAAAGCAGAGAGCACAAACCACTTGGACTCCCTCCCAGTTCTGGGATGATGGGAATTTGGGAGGGGTCTTGGAGTTTGTGTGGATGGTTGCGTTGCACGTTTATGTGAGCCATGGGAAGCATTGAATAGAGCGGGGGTGATCCTGGAAGCCCAGGTACCTGGGTCATTACCTTGGATGCCATGTCCACTCTTGAGTGGATGCACACACATTCACCTTTTGTCTCCAGGGCTATGGCCTGGGAAAGGTGAAAGTTGACACATCTGTTAGCAGGAAAACAGAAACACCTGTACAGGAAAAGAGGGAGATGTTAGAAGTGGGACACAGGTGAGAGGCACAAAGAACAAGAGTGGTCCAAAGGACAAAGTCTTGAGAGATAATGATGCTTCTAGTTGTAAACATGAAACCGATATTGTGTCTTCCCATTCACTCTGGGATAAGAGATGTTGCCTGATGACCATGAGAATGGGTTTTGGGGCTGAAGAGTGCATTGAGGTATTGCTTAGTGAGGGTAAAGAGGAATACTGCTGAGATACTGCTGAGAAGAGCAGGGAAAGACTGGGAGAGGAAGCCCACCAGGTAAAGAGTGCAGGCATTACCGGTGGTGGTCTCGGTAGCGGTAGACCTCAGCCATGACAGCTTCCTCTTCACTGGAGATCTTCCTTTGAATGAAGATAAAAAGCTGAGGGAGAGAGGAAAGGAAACAAAGATTCTCAGGTCTTGGAACCCCCATAGAGGAAAGACACTCGCCTAAAATGCAGGCAGCCTTCCCAGTTTGCTCCCTTACACTCTCATGCCCACTGGCCTTGACATAGGAAAAGAGGTTGTGAGTCTCCTTTCATTAGCACCAGGACACCTCTCAGCACAAAGAGACACCCTACAAGGAAGATCCAGCTCCCCCATGTGCAGGACAATTGCACAGAAGTCCTTCCAAGCCGCTCAGTCCAAAGATGGTATCACTTTCTCCCATGAGGATGCCTCCCACATGCCAACTCTCCTCGCAAACAGCAGCAGAATATCTCACCCTTAGCCCTGAAATCTACATTTGTTTACACCCATTCCCCTCCCCAAAATCCTTTGGCCCCTCATACCTGACGGGGGTGTCCATAACGGAGAGGAGTGCTGTAAATAGACCTTAGGAGACCCAACAGGTCACAGCCCCCCAGATCAGGGCAGATGGAGGAGATGCGCCCCACAGCACTGTCCATGTTTTCCTGTGTGTACTCCACACTCTTCCTGTGGGAAGGCACCCAGAGTGTCAGAGAGGGGGAGAAAAGTCATACTATACTTACCCCTTGACCCTACTCCCTTATCACCCTGAACTCACGGATAGAAGGCTTTGAAAGTGGCCCCAAAACTGTAGATGTTGAAGTAACAGCCCAGAGGCAAACTCTTGAGGAGGAATAACAGTGTGTTCTGTGGAGAGATGGAGGGATGGGCAGAACTCAGATGGGGAAGCTAAGCAGAACATCTGCCCACGTGAAGCAGCTTGCCTCTATCCCCACCACCTGAGCATGACGGGTGAGGAAAATGTTCCCTGAAGATCTCATCCAGTGGTACCTGTGCATCCTGGAAGAGGCTGCAGTCCATGAGAAAGAGGAATTCCCCCAGATGGCCTGGACTGGACACTACTTCAGGAATGTTTGGCATCAGTGTCAGCATCACAACAGGGTGTCCTAGCAGAGAGCCTAGGGTGTGTGGGGGGAAATAAGAAGGATTTATAGACTGGAGCATCCTTCCTTGTCTCTTTTCTTTTGCCCTCAGCTCTGACTTTTTGCCCCCAGATCCTCCCACTCTCCCTGACACCCTCTCCCTAATGCCTATTTCCACCCTCCTCACTCACCAGGTGGGGCTTTAGGATCTCTCCTCTCCACCACAGCACTGAGAGTGTGAGGCCCTTTGTAATATACCATTAAGTTCAGATCATCCTGCATCCAGGGTGATGATTTCAAGAATACCTGAGGATAAGTAGGGTGTGTGGAGAAAAGAGAACCAAATAAGTGGATTAAGGAGTCCTAAGGAGCACCAGCAGGTTGCAGATCCTTCTCTACTCTCCCACTTTGGGAAGCATCTGGCAGTGACATACCTGAGCAGATGTGTGATCAGAAGCCGTGTATTGCAAAGGGGTGTGGCTGCTGTTAATGACTACATGGGACACACCACGGGCTGACTTCAGGGAGATGCTGAAGTGCAGGTTTTTGGACATCTCCTCCTTGGAAGAGATCCTACCTGCAAGGAGAGAGAGGTGTGAGAAACTGAAGCACTCAGTTGTGGTGGGGCTCTGTCTCTCATTTCTAGAGAGAAAATGTGGCATCTAAGAAGTCCCTCACTGTAGTGTTTAGTTGTGGTGGTGGTGAATCTGTAGACACACACTGTGTTTTGCTTAGGGGTCTGTGGGGGTCTCTTGCTGTGGTATATATGAGGAGACTTGTGGGGTTCATGACTATGGGGGGCAAGGGGGAATATTCAGATTCTCTCACTGAGGCACTCCTGCAGATACACACCCCCAGCCCCTCCCTGAGGGATGCTGGGGAGCCGCCTGTTTCTCCCTGCATCACTCACTGGTGTATTTTATCCACGGGAACAGTTCATGTGGCCAGCAAAACTGGGCAGCCCCATTCGGCTGCAGTGGCAGCTCCTGGACGTAGCACAGGCTGATGGTCACCTCCCCGTTAGGAGGCAGGGTTCCCAAGAAACAAGCGAACACACGACCCCAGAGATCCCACTGATCCTGCAGGCATCTTAAATTCTCCATGCCTGGAGTAGCTTTGTACAGCTTCTGGGCCTGCCACAAAGGGAGAAAAATGTATCACTGAGGTCTCCATAAGAATGAATGAAAGAAATTAAATCCCCAGGATCCTCTCACCCAGTCCACAAACCACCCATTCCCACTACAACCCCAGTACCTCCTCCTTCTCCCAGAGCATTGCTTCAATGCAAGAGTCCCCCATGGTAGCGTGGAAGGTGTCTACAACAGTGTTTGAATCCACAGGAAAGATGAACATGGTCTCCTTGGAGACTTGCTGCATGTTGCGGAAAACCAGCTCAGACACCACATCAGCCACAAAGTCCTGAATGGTTACATTTACTGTCACAGTTTCCAGCTCCACTTCAGGATAGGAAGAAAAGAACCATATTCCCCTCTGGAATAAGCCTGAGGAAGACACAATAGTTCTCAAACTCCCTGATTGTCTGTAGGAATCTTTAAATTTGAGGTGTCTGCTTGTAGTGGAAAAGAGTTGTGTGTCCAAACCTGCCACAGAAATGTCAGTTGCAGAAGCTGGTAAACAGAAATGAAAGGTCCCTTAGGCTGCCAAAGTTTCCCTTAGACCAAAGTTTCTCAGCTCTCTAAGCCCCTCTCTGTCCAAAGCACATGGCAGCTGTGCTCTCAGATTGCCACCTGCCATACTTCATCTTAGCTCAGGCCTACCATGACAGTAAGAAAAGTCTGTCTGTCCCCCAGCACATAGCCTGAGACAGTCCCACACTGGAGCTTCACACATATGGCAGGAGGTGTCAAGCAGATTTGCTTCAGTGTTCACTGCCAAGGCCAGCTGTGTTTGGGTGACTGAGCACTGGAACAGGTTCCCAGAGAGATTCAGAGAGGTTTTGGTGTCTCCTTCTCTGGAGATATTCAAAAGCTGTCTGAACTCAATCCTGTGTAATGTGTTCTACAGGACCCTGCTTGAGCAGAGAGGTTAGACTAGATGACCTCCAGAGGTCGCTTCCAATCTTACCCATGCTGTAATTCCATGATTTATCTCCTTTTCATTGTTGACAGCAGAGATATTTCTGACTGACCTCCCTTTCTCATTTGTCATACTTGTAGCCTATGGTTTATCTGAGACCAACAATGTGTAGATCTGAATTTGGTTGGAAGATGGTCTTGGTGATCTCTCTATCTGCTATGACAGCAGCCAATGGAGGGAAACCTTCTCCATACCTTTGCCCTTGCTTTGAGGTAAAGAACACTCATTTTAGGGCAAGGCTGGGCATCAGTGAGGCATCAGACCTGTTGGTAAAATACATTGGAGTAGTGTCTTTGTCAAGAATGGTGAAACACTGTAGGAGGAAGAGAGTGACACTTTGCAAAGGAAGGTATAAGACCATCATAGGGGTTGCTGTAATGTCTTGGAAGGAGATGGTGTACCTAAGATGGTAGAGTTCACCTGGAGAGGATGATTCAACTCACTAATCAAGTGATGTACTAAGGTATCACACAACCACAGCGGTTCATTTAGCTCCACAGTAGAGATGATGCAGTATCATAGCACTGAGGAGGGTTACCAGCTTCCCACAGCAGTAGATATCTGTCCTACATCCTCCTACTACTTTGTAATCATTTCCCTGGAAAGCCTTCAGCACTATGAGTGAGATGAATCACGCTTACAGAATGATGTTTGCTATGCCAGTGACAGAATGTAAAGGCTGACTACAGGCCATGTCCCTGGGTTCCCAGGACATGGTGAGATGTGACTGCCTGTCAACCAGCCAAAAAATCCATTCTTCCCACATTACTCCTCAGCTAAGATCTTCTCCACCACTCACAGGTGCCACCCTTCTGTCCCCAACTTACCCCTACACATATACTGTTTGCTCAGGATGCCACTTTTCCTCATCTTGACTTTTTGGTTGAAGAGAACTTCTATGAGGAAAAGAGCAAAAGTGAGCTATGAGGACCTTCTGGGGAAAAAACAAACAAACAAGCAAAACACACATACACACACACATACAAAACCAATCAACCAAACAAACAAAAACCAACCCAAAAAACAGCAAGAACAAAAAAAACCTGGGCACCTCAATCTTCCCTTCCTCCATGATCTCTAGCTCACACCCACATACATGGGGATGACTCCTTGCATCCTTACATTGGGGAAATGGGGAAAAGAATGGATGAATTAATTTGTGTCTGGGATGTATGGATGCACATCCAGAAAAATGGGAGGCAAGAGGACAATGGCAGAACTGAGGAGCAACTGGAGGTATGTGGACTGTGAGGGAGAGGACTATAAAAAGTGCCTGATTTGTGACTGATCTGTCAGTTAGGCACCTAAACCCACCAGTTCTGTGTACAGTCAGTGAACTCTTACAAACACTGAGTAGAGCCTTGACTCTGTTGTCAAAACATTGGACAGGAGGGTCATTTGCAGCGAGAAGGCTTTGCATGGGTGAGCGGTCCTAGCAAAGGTGAGGACATTCCTTCTAGCTGCCTCCTGGGGGCTCTGTGCTATAGATATATTGGCATCGGGTGTCTATCTTGGAACAGACAGGACATCTAAAATGGTACTAGATACCCATTCAACGACTACATCTCACCCCTAAATTGCACAATAGTATGATTCAGTTCAGTATTATTATGTATAAAAGTAGGTATTTCAATACATTCAGATACATTCCGATCAAGTTCTAAACCCCTGCAAGGAGGAGGATTGCCAGAGAGTTCTGAAAGAGGGAGTGAGAATGGGGCAAAGGAATGAATGAGGAATGAGAGGAATGTGAGGGGGGACACAACGAGGAAGAGAAGGAGGGATGTGCATTCTCTGCTGTAGTGATCCTGACTGGGGGATCATTATACCTCAGAGTTAGTGACCCCGAAGCAGTTGATCTGAGGAGGCACAGGACAGGACTGTGCTGTGCTGCACATCTGGCTTGGCCTTCAGGCCTGTGCTGGATTGCACCAATCCCATGGCCTCAGGATAACCCTAGTCAGCTCATTGTAACAGAGACAGAACATGCACAGGGAATATACTGCTGATCAGAGATCTTTCAGTGCTGCACAGCCTGAGGGTCTCAGCATCCAAGGGGGTGTAAGATTGTTGATGCTGTTCTCTCTTTCTTTCTAGTGTTAGGTCTAAGCAATGACATTTCAAATGAAACTTTGCAGAACCTAAATGTCTTTCTTCTTGGGGATCACTGTGAACCAGCACTTATCTCCTGGGGTAATGAATTTGGTGCACTCAGTGGGTCCCAGTGAGAAATATTTTTCTAGAGAAATGATAAAGAGGAAGAGTCACAAGAAACTTGGCCCAGATGGTCTTCCCAGTGAGAATGTCCCAGAAGAATATTTCAGCCCAGCTGAAGTATTAACATGACTCAAGGAACACAGGTTAGAACAAAGAAAAGACAAGGAAAACCCAGCTTACTTAAATGTCACAAGGGAAGCAAAAAAACTTCACTAATCTAGAATTAAATCAGAATTTGATGATGTCTGTTACTCCATAGTTGTGCTGTCATTTTCTTTAAACTGTATTGGGATAATTCTCCTGATTCTGGAGGACCCATTCATCAGAGGAATTCCTGGAGGAGATAGTATTGGCACAAGCTGAGTCACTCTGCACCTGCATTTAGTTAATTGGAATCAAAAGAGAGGACTGATCTTGGCTAAGTGCTTTGACAGAGAGGATGTTGTGTTTCTCAAAGTGGAAAACCACTTTAACGGTCTGTGTGATAGTGTGTGTTTTTCTCTCATGGCTGAACACAGCCACTACATGATGCAAGGTGAATGTGTGGGATCAAAGCACCGGTTTAGGACAATCCTGGGAGTTTCAGTTAACTAAAAGACAAACACCATGTGCTATTTATGAGAGAATATGAGTAAAAGGGGAACGCCAAAAATGATCAGTGGACAAATCCCGAAATCAAAATCTGTGTGGTGTGCAACCTCATTCTCTTCAGCGCCCATAAGATAGCTCCTATTAGATGAAACAGTCATTAAACTGTTACAAGATTGAAGATATGATTCTTTGTTCATAGTAAAAATCCTGATTTAGTGATACCTGCCTTCAAGGATCCCAATAACGAAGTTCCTCTGCTTGCACATCTATTTCCTGTATTTTACAAATATACAGTATATTTATGATATATTGCAAATATCATGAACTGTGTATGTGTCTCATTGTGAATTTGGACCTAAACCTACTGTCCTTGATCTCAGAGATCCCAGATGTGTAGGTACCATTTGAACTAAGGAGCCTGGCAGGACAGGGCAGCAATCACAGACACACAGAAACTGCCAAGCCTTTGCTAGGGTACAAAGCACAAACAGACAGACAAATGCACATGTGCACACAGAACAGGACTGCAACACTTCCATGTGGGGGCAGGGAAGGATGGATGCACAAAATGCACTCACCATGAAACAGCAGACTGCAACAGGAGCGACAGGCAGACAGATACAGGAACGGCCCCGGGCCTGAAAACTGTGAGCTGCAGCAGGGAAGGATGTTCCCAGGCACGCTGGGAAGAGGAGGAGGAGAAGGGCTGGTCTTTGCAGTGAGCGACAGGGATAGATGGGAGCCATGATCACTGCCGCAGTGCCTGGGCAGTTCCAGGAAAGGGAATGCTGCCAAACGCACTCTGGGATATACGCTTGGGAACCAGAAGTGCTGCCAGCCCTGCGTCCTGGGATGGGTGGGAGGCACTGGGTGTAGGGGTGTTCCAGGTCTCTGGGCAGCTCTGGGAGGTTGGTGGAACCATGAGGGAAGCAGGACCAATGCAGAACCCACATGGAGGGTGACTTTTGTGCCCAGAATGGGGAGCCAGGGGCAATAATAGAGATCATGCTATGAATTGACTCCATCCTGGGGTCTCCGAGCTGGGGATGTTGCCTGGGAAAGGCCTCTTGTGAAGCTGGCATGTCTTGAGAAGTGAACTGCAACAGTGCTGGACAGGGTGAAGAGGGTGGGGGGTGCTACCCAGCACCACCTGCCCCACAGGAGGGCTTTGAAGTGTTGGGGTTGGGGGGAGAGAGGCTCCCATTTTTACTGTAGGAGGCATTTCCCCACCAGAAGTGCAAGTGGCTTCTGGGAAGGGAACCATTCAGTTCCTGCCCACACAGGTGCTTCAGGTGGCCTTCCTGGCATCCTCCTCTGACTTGTTCTTTTCCAGTGGGCTTCACTGGCTGCAAGAGGATACAGGTAGGAAGATAGTTTTGGACCAGTTAGGAAACCCTAGAAGAAGAGACGGGTGCCTTAGATCTTTATTCTAGATATTGCCAAGCTTGCTTAGAGCCATATACCTGCAGAAAAGTGAATGCCATTTATACTGAGAGCTGGAGAGTAAAAGAGTGTGGTGGTACCTGAAGTTGGCTTGGCTACCTAACTGGCTACCTAGTTGGTTACTTAGTTAGTTACCCAGTTGGTTACCTAGTGCCCCAAAGTGCACTCAGTAGCTTGTTCCCAGTCTTGTCAGAGGAGCAGCTATAGGGTAGTCTGATGTCCATCTGCATGACTATGCAGTGATAGACATGGCCAATATTGATTTGCTCCTGGAACAGTGAAGTTTTCTTTTCCTTACCTCGCAGATCTTCAGTAAGATGATTCAGTGTTGCTTTTCAGGATTTTTCTTCTCCAGTGCTGATTATCAAAAATGTCCCTTGAAAAGTTGTCAGAATTCTTTCAAAGCATCACTGAGATTTCTGCAGAGCACTGAGAGCTTGTTGTCTGGCTCTGAATATAAACTGTGTTCTGTGCTTTGATAAATGAATGGATGTATTAAATCCTCTGAACTGAAAACTGAAACTGCTTCCTACTGAACTGAAACACCTTTTTCCATGCATGAGGAAAACCCATTGCTGCAGAGAAACAGTATGAACATCACGCTAAGTTTTTTTCCATCAGTACCCCAGCAGATCATGCATTTTAAAATGTTCATTCACAGTGTCCCTCCAGTTCTGCAGCAAATCACCTGGGTGATGTGCTTAAAAAAAAAATTTTTTTTTAGAAGTTAAAAAGAAAAAGCACCAAAAGTAGAGCCTCTGGTAACTTGCAGTGTGATTGAGCGTGTCTGAACTTCAGCCTCTATAAACTGGACATTTCCTTCAAGAGAAAACTCCCCTTTATCTCAGCATCATTGGTGTCTGGGAGAAGACCCTAGAAGTGTCCTGTGCACAGCACATGTCCCATCACAGGGGCTCCAAGCTCTGGACAACGGCCTCTTTGTAAACCTACCTTTGGTGGCCTGGAAACTCTTCCTGGTGTCTTGCACAAAGACAGAAAAGATATAACCTGAATTTTAGCTCATTAGCTAAGAGGTTGATAGAGGAGAGTTGCCTTGTGCTCTAACTAGAATGAAGATGTATTCACAGTTGTATAAGAAACCGTTCCAGTGAGTGATCCCTGACGCTCAGACCAAGTAAGTGCAAAGCAGCTTTGCTCCATACTATGGCTGAGGAGCCCACAGAGGTCACCACGGCCCCCCATGCAGCCCTTTGCCAAGGTCTCTGACAGATGGTGATCCTCTCCCCAGAATTTTTAGACAAAACAACTTTTCTTACTTTCAAAGAGCTTGAAATAAGAAGATGACGGTGCAAGCGACAAAGAGAAGAATTGCTTTACATGAAACTGGGGCTGTGAGTGGAGTCTGTCGTGGGTGATGTGCAGGTGTTTTGGGCTGTAACAGGTGCTGACATAGAGCTGGAAGTATCAGAAAGTTGTGTAGAGAAGAGGGACTAGAGCCTGATTTCCTCCATAAAGACTTGTGGGAGAATTTGTAGGGTGAACTGCTCATGATGAGTTCAGTTCCATGTGGAATTAGCTATTTTGTTGCACAGGACAGCTAGAGATCGACCTCACATTGATGCACTATGGAAGAGGGTGGCAAAGCATTCATCTGTGTTTTCTGGCTCTGTGTTGATTCATCTCTAGGATGGGTTCATTAAGCCTCCCCTGGGTTTGATTGTCAGTGCCTTTCCTGTGTGGGTCACAAAACTGAACACAGAATTCTAGATGTTAACAGGTACTGAGCAAAGGGAGGCTAATCCCTTCCCTAAGTCTGCTGGCCATGCCCCTGCTAAGGCAGCCCAGGTGGCTATTGACTCCCAGGTGGCTTTGTCTCCCAGGCATGGCAGGGGCAAACCCTTACTACTTGATTCCTGTTAA